TGGGTGGGTCTGGGAGGCAGAGAGGAGGGAGTGGCAAAATTTGCAGAGATGATTACTGTTTAAAACTCCCTCGGGAATTTTGAGTTTCCATTCAAACTAGTTTCAGAGGAATGGTTAAAATTATAGCTGGAATTTGGTTGGATATGAAAAATAATTTCCTGTTTCTAAATACTGGAGAAAATGGAGATTTTTTTTTCCTCCAAATCAGACTGCGCTATCTCCTTGAGAGTCCCCCACCCGCCATGACCCGAATTGAATGCTGCTTGCTTTCATGTCAGAACGGAACCTGGCCGGAGTCTGGGAGGCTCCTTGTGCCACTAGTTGGTGGTATGTTCTAGACCAGCTCTCAGCCTCGTTTGCTTTTATTCATTTGAAAAGGTATTGAAAAAAATACTTTGTTTGTAATCTCATAGGATTTTCCTCCAAAATTTAATGAAACTATGTAGACAATTGTATTCTGGAAGAGTGGAGCTTTGCCTGAAAGGAAAAGTCTAATGATTATCGACTCAAGCTTCAGCTCTGTCAGACCTGCTGTTTAGGACCTGAAGTAATTGCCCACCGTCTACCTGACAGACAATCCCGAGACCCCACGTGGGGATGAATGAGATTCTGAAGCTTAATTTGGGTTTTTGGGTGGTTTTTTTTCCATTTGGTATATTTGACACATGGACTAGTGATTGGCAGCAAAATGTTTTAAAGTCTTTCCCTTTCACTTTGAAAGACATGGAGACCTTCAAAGGAGGAAGTCAATTCTTGCTGAGTTTGACAGCTGTTCTTAACTTTCTCTAAGGATCAACGAGCAGCTCTAGAACGAGGGGGAAATGAAACAGAGTTCTTTTCTTAATTAGAATCTTAAAGTGCAGAGATGGGCAGAGGTGAACATTAAAAACAAAATCAAAGAAAAATGATAAAAATGGACAAGGGGATTCGGAATTCAGGTCCCCAAGATGGCTCACCAAGGTGGTTTAGGATGAGACTGTTGTGGCCAGGTCTTGCACGTGGCAGGAGAAGTAGGCTGTATTGTTATCACTGCTTTCCAGGTGAAGAGTCGGATCCAGAGAAGCCAGGTCAGAGTGGGGTCAGGGAGGTTTCAGGACCCAGGCTCCTGTGTCCTAATCCTAGTTTTCCAGAGGGGTATAGGTAACTGCACTTTCGCCACAACCTTCCTCTCTTTCTCTTTCTCCTCTAATGCCTCTCCTTTTGTGGTTCTTTTTCCTCCCTTTGAGAATAGCAGTGGTGTCCAAGGGCACTAACTGAGCCCTGATGAGCTCACTTGAGCCAAAACCAGGGCCTGCCCCCATGTGCTAGACTTCAGGGGCATCTGAGATGGCAGCCTTGGAGCAGTGGCTAGTTCTGTAAGAGACAGTCTTCACCGGACGCAGCGTCCGTAGGCTTCTCAGTGAAGTTGCTTTCTGGACTCCATGAGTGTAATCAAGCCAGCAGAGTCCAGGGTTCTCCATAAAACTGAATTAGAGTGCCGAGTGAATTAACTGTTTGCTCCTCTTCGTGTGCAATGCATTTTTAATTACATTTCATAAAAATGTCTGGATGGATTGATGGGATTTTATTTAAACTTCAGGTAGGTACAGGGAGTAAATGATGGTGCAATATAACATGTTCTGTTAATGTAGGCTCAGAACACATTTACTTTATGGCAGTTCAACAGAATCTTTGATGTGGGGCTACTTAAAAATATATTACCTTTGAAAAGATTTCCTCTGGAAGATAGAATAGGAGCCTGGCAGCTTTGTAAGCCTTCAGCCAGATGATCAATTGACAAACATGTCAACAGGTATAATTCACTGTACTGGCTCCCCTGATACATGTAAAATGCTGGCTTATTTTAGAAAAAGAATATATTTGTTGGAATCCTTTTCATTCACATTGTAGGATTTAGGAAGCAAATCATATCAGAAAGAAGGAAATCATGAAGGAAAGAAGTGTCTCTTTGGCCTGTCTGCCCTCATTGTCTATCCACATGGATTGTTTTAGGTGTTGGACGGGGTGTGTGATATGAGGAAGGAAAATAAATGCTGCTTACTGTAAACAACAGCACAGACTCAAGCCGCAGAGAAAGGTTATATTTCATCGGGAGGGTTGTATTTATACTTCTAAAAAGCTGTCACTGTTCTGCCAGACCATTATATTTACTTTTTTTCCTCCATGAATCCTTTTGATGGAAACAGAAAATTGTGCTTTCCCCCTGGGGCAGATCTGTTTGCTATGTTACTCATGTGTTGGATAAAGGCTGGGCTAAGCGCCTCTCTCTCAACAGCTCTGGGGTTCCCTTGAGCATGGAGGTTGAAGACTGTACACCCCCGGAAAAAGCTGGCCCAAACAAGAATATGGGCATGATGTATACCTCTCTAATTGATCTGTGGAGCCTCTTCCTTGTCTTTACCCCCAGTGTTCCTTCTTGTTTTCTAACTCTAAGGAGAAAATGTACAGACTCATGCATACTTGAGGGTTGGGTCCATTGGTTTAACTGAAAAACAAAGTAAAGGAAGTAGATTTGGCCTAGCAAGGATAAGGTTCTTTGGTGGAGGGGGACAGGGTGAAGAAGAATGGCCCACCTGACAAGTGTGGCATTGAGCTTACCCCTCATGGCCACCAGTAATGGGCTCTCCAAGGCAGAAACATAGATATGGGTTTGGGGAAAGGCCTGGCTCGGATGATGAATTAATGCCAAAGAAACTGGTCTGTTGTGGTGGATTTAATTTCTCTTGTGCAAAGTCTGATTCACATGTAAGTTATGCCAGGTGAAGTTAGCATGGTGGCAAAGCAGCCCTACAATAAACAAACAAACCCCAAGCCACCCACATCTTTGAAATATCTGCTCCTGTGCCAGCTCAGTATTGCTTTCATTTTTATTCTTTTTGTTTTTTTGGTACCGGGGATCGAACTTGGGTCCTTGTGCTTGTGAGGCAGGCGGTGAAACTGCTGAGCTAAATTCCTGCCAGCACTGCTTTAATTTTGACCTTTATTGTCTCCAGGGCCCAGCTCCTGGGCCTTGGTAACCTTCTCCACCTTTCCCAGGAGAAACTGACCTGGAATTCCCAAGGCCGGTGGGCCACAGGGCCACACAAGGGGCTATACCAGGGCATCGTCCCTGTTGCCTGGACGTGGTGGCATTCTGGGCCTCTCATGATATCACACGGAGGGACAGATGGCAGGAAGCCAGCTCCATCTTGGTGCAGGAAAGCTCGCAGTAAGGGAAGAAGTCCTCCAGAGGGATAAGGAGGCATCACTGGCTGCTCCACCGGTGATGGAGAAACCAGGAGGAACCAGAAGCCGTTGTCCCCTTCTCTGCTGACTGCAACCTGGCAGAGCTGAGTGTGATCCTTACCAGCCTAGCCAGGGGAAGGAGCAGCCCCTAGCTCCGGGGAGCCTCCTGCCGTGCACACTCACAGAGGGCGGTAGTAGATCATGCTGGGCTCTCCTCGGGGGTTCTCTATGGTGCTGGCGCCTCTATGATGTAAAACGCTAGCCAGCTCCTAGCTGCCTTGTCTAGCTCTTCTCACCACAGACGAGTGCGAAGGAGGCTCAGGCAACAATGCACTCAACCTCCCCCTACCACGGAGGAGGGTGGCCCAGGCAGGCAGGCGACTCATCCCACTTCCGGCTGATCTGGCTTTGCTGCAAATCCTGGTTTCAGATTACACCCCGCCTAGTACCCCAGTTTCATCCACCAGGATTCTGTGCACCCCCTGCAGCTGGGCTTTGGCCTGTGACTTCCCTAAACTCTGGCAAGGGGTGCAAACATTTTCTGACCAGGGCTTTCTGAAGTCACTCACCTGTGAGCTGGCTCGCAGGCCACCCAGGCATTTGCCTCTTGCTTGCTCAGCTGGGCCCAGCTCCCCCAGGGCCCACTCCCTTGCTTCCCCTGCTGCCTGCCTAACCATTTAGGGACAGCGCCTGGCTCTGCAGCAAGCAGGTTTCCTAAACCGGCTTTATTCTCAGGCACTTGCCTCATCCTCAGCTGCTCCCATTGCCTGCAGCCCGGGCGGCTCCCAGGCATCCACTCAGTTTGGGTGTGACCTGAGCACTGCTCTGAGATTGATGCAGCCACTCTAACAAAGGTGAGCAAATAGCTGAGCATGCGCAGACATTTTCCAATACAGAGGGTGAGTTAGGACCCTCTGTTCTTTGAAGAGATCAGCTCTGTCACCCCCGCCCCCATTTTAGTAACTGTCAGATGAGATTTAATAACTTTAATAACAAGTCAGATGAGATTCATTTAATCATTGCCCGAACCTGGGGAAGCTAGCTGGAGTCCCTAGGACGCAGGCTAACATGTTCTTGAGCCCACAATCTATTTCAACAAGAAAAGATTTGAGGTCTATAATTTCCCCAAATTTAAAAAATCAGCTCTGCAGCAGATCTGGAGGACTGCCCCTTAGCTGTACTCGTGGGTGAGAATTCTTGTCTTTGACAACCCACTGAGCTGGCACAGACTCACTCAATTATTGAAAATTCTTTTCCAAGTAGAAAGTACTCCACAGCCTCTGATGGAAAAATTCCAAGATCTGCAGCAAATATCTAGCTCATTGGCAGAACCAGGATTTTGGCATGAACCACCATTCTTGGCTTTCGTTTGAGCTCCAGCAGAAATTTTGCAGATGACCTAGGAATAAACGGCCACGAAGCCTCAGGGGGAGACAGACACAGGAGTGTGTGAGCCTCATCCACTCGGCATCACGAGCCCCAGTGGCCACCTGGTGCAGAGAATAGCTGCCTTGTCTGGCGGGCTGGGCTGTGCGGGTGTGCTGGGCGGCAGGAGCACTTGATATGTGCAGAGGCCAAGGGCGGCATGGCTGGCGCTGGGAGCTGAAAGCTCTAAACCAAGGGCATCCGGCTGAACTCAGGAAGCAGGAGCGGAGAGTGGGTGGCACTGTGTGTTTGCATCTACACAGTCACCTCATGTCAGGAGCACTTAGCCTCATAAACAAAGCTCCTAATGGGAACTTCAGTGCTCTGGCATCACTCAACCTTCTAGAAACAAAGCTTTCCCACCATTCATATAATTGCATGCGCTGTAGGCAGGTGGGGTGGTGAAGTAATGAGGCAAAGGAAATGTAACGAGAACAGCAGAGATTCCAGGGCCAGTTGCATCTGTGCCAAGTTTTTCTCTATTCTCGTCTTACCTGTTTGACTCTGACAAGACACTTGGGTTTTCTTATTTGCAAAACTGGAGGATGCTACCTATTTCATTCACTGTTGTGAGGATGGACCAATTTTGTGATTACCATGGGTTACCATGTAAATTACCTGGCCCATTGAGCATGGACTAGATTCCTCTCCTAAGTTAAGGCTAGCCCCTGAAGGATTAAAAATGCCATTGTGGGGGTCTAAAGTTTTGGCTAACCTTTGAGCCCCAAGGCAAAGCAGGATTTGGAAGTGAAGACTGCCATTGTTTAAAGTTTGTCAGACCGCTGAACGGTGGTACGTCTGGGTACTGCCATGGGGGTTGGTGTGCTTACCATCTAGGCGCAGTGTAGGTCCTTGGCTGTCACCTTCTGCCTGCTGGGGTGACTGGAGTCACCTCCTTCTGCTGGGGCTGTTCCTCTGGCTGAGCTTTGTTCTGGGCACAGCTGGTGCGGGCCTCTGGCTGCAGCCTGTGGCCAAGCACGTAGAGCTCTGGGGGAGATGCCCAGCTGCCGCCGCCTCCCTGCAATTCTGGGACATGGGGGCTGCTCCAAGGTGCCACATCCTGCTTGGGGCTGTCCTCACTGCTGCTGCTGCTCCGGGGAGAAAGAACAAGGTCAGATCGGACCCTCGTGTGCTGCTCCTCTTCCTGGCTCCCTCCCCATTCCTCTGGCTTCTGTGTGTTCCTCCCCAGCTCTCTCACAAAGCCCAGTGGCTCACCCTTGGCACCGGGCCTCTGTCTTTCCATGTCAGGCTTGTCTGGCTGGGCTGTCCTTGCCGTGTGCCCGCCTGCCCACCTGCTGTGGTTGGGCCTGGTGGGAACCAGTGGACAGGCTGAATCTTGTTCTTTCCCATGCCCAAGATCCTGCTGCTCTGAACAAAGCAACCCCCTCAGGAGCTCTGGGAGCTGGGCCTTTATTTTGTTTTTGTTTCTAAAGGACTTCTTGTTTAATAAAGGACTAGGCTAAGCTAGTTGAATTAACAACAACAGCAACAGCAAAGGAGAAAAACAAAACAAAACCCTGCTTTGCACAGCTGCCATTTTCCTGAATGGAGTGAAATGGAAACTGCCTGGCCCAGCCCTGCCCAATATTTTGGCTAGAACAGTTTCCCAGCTGCTGAGGGACATGACCAGGGGGGCTGTGTTTGTAGTGGGGACCTCCACACGATCCTCGATCTGACCAGGCAAGCGTTGGAGGAGCAGAATGGAGGTTGGCGTGAAACAGGGAATAAATCAGATAGAAGAGACCAACTCTGACAGCCACATTGGCTGTCTGCTGGCAGGCTGGCCTCCAGATACCTGGTGTCTGGCTCCAGGGTTTCAAATCCTAGCTCTTCCACTCACCAGCTGTGTACCCTGTAGCATGCTAAATGATCCTACAGTCTTCATTTCCTCCTTTGTAAAATGGAAATCATAAGAGGACCCATCTCATAGGTATCAATATTGGACAAAGCATGTCAAACTCACAGTGGGTAACTAGCACCTAAGTGCTCAGGAAATGGGGAGCTGTCACTATGGTGCACCTTTGTAAACTTGATAGGAATTCACATCTGGAACAGACCCTAGGGACTACCCTATCATGCTCTAGGTAGATGCCTGGGATGAAGAGAGTTAAGGACTTGGTCAGAACTATTAAGCAGTCACCCCAGGACCCAGGACAAGGGCCCTGCTTTCCACCTGGATAGACCAGAAGGCCTCTCTCAGCCTGTAACAGCATGTGCTTGTTTTTCTGTGAGCTTTAGAGTGAAGTGTGCTCAGCTCCGTGCCTGCGGTGCCAAACCAGTGGAGGAAGTTTGTGTTTAGATCTGGACAAGATCAGGTGGTGGGGGTGGGGTGGCACAGGCCCATGGCTTTTGGGCAGTGAGGAGCCTCCCATGTGCCTTTAGCCTGTCCCATCTGTGTCGACTTCTGGCCTCAGATCACTGCAGGTGTTCAGGGCCCAGTGTAATTTGTGGGCTACAGTTGCCCTTCTGTACTTTTCCCTTACCCTGGGGAGTGGCTGGCAGGAAGTGGAAGGGAAGCCTGAGGGAAAGCCTGAGGCTTGCTGCTCTGGGACCGACAGTGTGGCCTGGCAAACCGTTTGGACCAGAACTCTCTTACCTCCACCCAGGTTCCTCATGAACCTGAAGCTCAGGCCAGGAGGCTGATTTTCCTCAGTGTCACCCTGTGGCTGTGGTTTTACCTCTTCCTGGAACTGCTGGCCACAGGGCAGCCTGAACCAGGAACTGAGTGGGGGCTGCAGAGAGCCGCCACCTTACTAGCTTGAGCCAGGAAAAGGTGAAAGGCACTGAACTTAGAGGAGGCAGTGGGGACCCTTTGGGGGCACACAGTGCCCTAACAGTCTCAGACCTAGAGACTGGCACCTCATAGGGAGTCAACACATATATAACAGCTGGAGCTCAGTAATTGAGCTTCCTGAGGATACCTCCAAGGACTGTTCCTGATCCCCAGGGCCCCACGATCAGGAGGATATAAACATGCCTAGCACAGGGTGACAGACAGGAATCAAAGCCCATTGCCAGGCCAGTTGATCCTGCAAGCCTGCTTCACTGGAAGACCCAGTGGGCATGATTGTGTCCTTGCAAGCCCCTGTTCATGATCTTGGAAAATCCATGTCCAGGTCCCTGGTGTTTCTCCCTGTGCAGAATGGCAGAAAAATATGCTTGGCCTCTACAGAGAGGCAAAGGCTTGGTGCTCTTACAGCTGATGTTTCTGCTTCCAGATACCAAATTCACACCTTGGGGGTGGGGCTGTGCATTTTCCTGTCACGGGCTTGTTGTTTGGAATGGCTTAGATGTGCGGCCACACCCAGAGGCAGAGGAATGGGTGCAAATCATTGACCTTCCATGTGACCTTGGGCAGGCTCCTCTTTCAAGCTATAAGGACCCTCCTCTCCCCTCAAAGATTGAGATTCGGGGCATAAAACAACCGTTTAGGCTGCTCTTTTCCAAGGAGAAGCCTGAGAGAAGGGCTTTATTTTCTTCTTGAATGATTTTATGTTCTTGAACAACTTTATAGCTCCCGCTGTTTTAAAATGTTAGTGTTTTTAATTAATGCCATTTTATTGTCCCTGTTCTCTCAAGCTCTTCTCCTGAAGGGCAGTTTTAGAAATCTAATAACTGAATAAGTAGCTAGTATGAGGAATAATGCATTAACATTTATAGAAGTTCTTAGATGAAAGCCACTATGCTGTAGGAAGCTCATTTTAGATTTAAGAAAAGAGCAATGTTACATTAAGATTCTTGCAAAAATAATCAATATTTCATTTCTTTCAAGTGGCTGGGGAAGTTTATATAACTATTATCATGCACAACTTTCCTGAGATAACATCTTTACTTAAAATTGACTGCCAAGTACTTTGTAAAAAATGACCATTTATGCCTGGACAGATTGTGAGGGCTGTAACATGGATCACACGTGCAGAAATTAACCACAGATTTACACAACTGTGGGCAAGGCAGCGATAGCAAAATTGCTATTGGTTGGTTGAGATTTGTCTGACTTGTTATCCAGGTTCTTTTTTTTTTTTTTTTTTGTACTGGGGATCAAACTCAGGACCTTGTGCTTGCAAGGCAGGCAGTGGAACCACTGAGCTAAATCAATCCCCAGCCCAGTCTGACTTGTTGTCAAGACACATTGATAAGAATTCTTTTCTAATAGGCTTCTGATTGACATTTTTCTCATATATTCTATAAAATAACCACTGGACCTTGCAGTGCTCACACAGTGGCTGTACTGACTCATGTCCCTTGCGGCTGTGTGTCTCGTCTGTCTGCAGGCTGGGCCTGTCATGAGCAAGTCACTTGCTCCTATGGAGAGAGGCACAGGCAGAACTCGGTTTGCAGAGGGCAGGGACAGCAGCTCTTTGCCTAGATTCTGATACTTGGCACTCAGGAGGCATCTTGTTCTCAGTCCACAAACCTCCAAAGTCGGTGGAGGAGTGGAGCTAGGTGCTTGGGGGAATGGGAAGCCAGACACTTATATTCTATGCCGCCAGGACAGGCCATTGTGCAGGTGTGGCCTGCAGACTCCCGAGCACCCCAAGATGCTTCCAGGCTGGCTGTCAGCGCCAGCTTATTTCCTTCACAGTCTGAAGATGTTACTTGCCCTTTTAGCCCCTTCTCAGTTTCCAGAGCCCACGAACCAGGTGATATCACTGCAGACTGGCTGCAGGAGCAGATTGCAGGGATCAGCCTTCCTGGCTGTTGAGCCAGACACCAGCAAGATTTACAAAAATGCAAGACAGCGCCCCTCCTTTGACTACTTTTTGTTATTGCAGGAAACAGGCTTTTCACAGGAATGTATTCTTTGTGTTAGTATGGAAATGATTTATTCTTTAATAAATAACTAATACATGTTATACACATTTCCCAGTTTTAACTTCTATTTTGGTGAAAAAGGTGTGGAATGTGGCCCCCACACAGAGGCTTTTTGGGTTCCCATAATTTTTAACAGTTGAAGGGTTCTTGAGACCAGATAGTGACTGGATAGTACACTGGGCCCAGTGAATAAGAAGCAACAGAATCCAGCTCCTGGGCTCAAAAAGGCCTGGCACGAGCTGTTTCACTCATTCTCCCATCTATAGGCTAAGAGGTGGGGGTTAGGGCTAATTTGGTGGATATAAACTTAAAAAAAAATACAGCAGAGCCTCTTTTCAATTAAAATCTTTCGGGCTGGGGATTTAGCTCAGCGGTTCTGCCGCCTGCCTTGCAAGCACAAGGTCCCAAGTTCAATCTCCAGTACCAAAAAAAAAAAAATCTTTCTCAGGAGCCCAATGCGTGCCAGGTAAAAGCTCCATCGCTCATGGTGGAGGGGAGACACACTGTTCCCCACACCTCTCTTTCCCATTTGACTCTTGTCTTGGAGCACAGTTTGAGAACGATTGACCCAGACAACCCATAGGGCTCACTCCCTGTGCTCTTGTCCCTTCCAAGTACCCAAAGGGCAGCAGCTCGAGGACTCTTCTTACCTGCTTTGGCTGGGCTGGGATTCCCAAGAGGGACCAGTGAGGCTGGAACTGGGCAGCTGAAGTTGGACACCCAGCTGGTGCCGGGGAGTTGTCCTCCTGACGAAAGGCAGGGGGTTGAGGGAACACAGAGCTATTCTCCTCTGTGAGTCTGCTCTCATCCGCGACCCTGAACTGCTCCTCCAGCATGCTGCTGGGGTCCCTAGAGGGGCCCCAGGCTCTGGTGGCAGTAATTCTGGGTTCAGCGGTCCAGCAGTTGAGAAAAGTGATTTGGCTTCAAACAGAGACAGTGTGGCCGGGCAGAATACAGCAGATGCCTTGGCTGAGGGGGCTTGAGTGTCTTTGGAGTCTCTTGTCTCCCTCTGTCCCTGAGATGCGGTCGGTGCAGGGGACAGGGAGGACACAGAGGAAGGGGAGCTTGCTTCTCTGCGCTGGGCAGGAGGACTCCCGGGAGGCAGGGCGGGAGACTTGTGTTGGGGTGGTGAAGGTCCCTTCTTCACTGGTGGTGGACTTAGCACCTTGGGGCTCACCGGTGGGCTGGCAGCTCCAGGGCTGAGTGGTGGGCTGGGGGAGCTGACTGCAGTGGGGAGACTTGGCTGGGCAGGTCCCTGGGAGGAGGGCGGGCTATGCTGTCTCTTGTCTGCTTGGGGCACCCAGTGTGCCTTTGTGGGAGAGGTTTTTCTGATCACCGGGGGACTTCTCTCTCGGCTCAGCCTGGATGCCTGTGTAGAATGTGTTCCTCTTGTGGATCTGGCCAGGCTGGGTTCCGAGGTCCTGCTTTGTCCAGATGGAAGGCTGGTGTGGTGCCAGGCGACTGCCTTCCGGGGTTGCTTGGAAGGGCCTGTGGCCTTTGCTGCTTGTGCCTGACTCTGAGCCCTGCCCTCCTGCTCTGAGTCTGGGCTGGCTGCTGGTGGGAGGCTGGGGTCCAAGGCAAGCATTCTGGGATTGCTGCCCCTCTTGGTGCTCCCCAGCCCTGTGCTGCACAGCTTGGTGGGGCTGGCAGTGCACTTGCTGGGCAGCAAGTCGATGGGGCTCACGGAGGCTCTCAGCTTTGAGGAAACCCATGTTCCTCTGGTGGAACCAGACCCTCCCAGCCCTGGGACTGGGGTCCCTTCAGGGGAGCTCCCTGCTGGATTGCTGCTTTCTGGGGGCTCCAGAGAAGTGAATGATTTGTCCATCAGGATTTCCAGAGGTGGGGGAGGGAGATGCTCTGAGTCCCCCTCTGTTCCGAAGTGAGTGTCCTCACTCTCGGATGCTTCTGCTGCAGGCAAGGGAAGAATGACAGGTGCCAAGGGCCTCCAGCCCATGTCTGCGTTGAGATAGCTGCCTGCTACTGGAGAAATTTGGGGCTTGGGATACAAAGGAGCAAGCCCCCGAAAGATGGGAAATCTTGGAGGCATGGGGGGGATCCCCCACCTTCTGAGGCAGGGGCTTGACCCCGAGTTCTTTGAGTCCCCTGGTGTCCTCATACTCTCAGCAGGACTGAAAGTTTCAATAAGCTTTTTGACTGATGTTCTGGTGGGACAGCCCCCGACGATGCAGTCCTTGGCCCTGGATGCCTCACCGTCCTCACCCGATGGGATGGTGCTTGGCAGTTTCTCAGTGTTCTCCTGCCTGAGCTGTTCACCTTCAGGGTGGGGATGACATCGCTGCCCAATGTTCTTGTCCTGATTTGGCAAGATGCTGAAGTCCTTGGTGAGGGATGCCTTGAGCTTGCTGATGGTGCTGCTGCAGCTCACCCTGCAGTTGCTGGTGGGCCACAGGGCTGCTGCTCTGGGTAGCAGAATCTGCTCCTTGTTCTGCCCCTGCCGTTTGGCTCCCAAGGCATAAAACACCTCCAGCCTCTGATTGAGATCTCTCTGGACCCTGCGCAGCTCCTGGAGCGTAGGGTCCTCCGCGTGGCTCTTAAGACACCCCTCCGACTGGGTCCTCCTCCGCCTCTCGGGGGCCCTCCTGCTGACACTGACCGTGCTAGGTCTTGGCGGGACCATTGTCCCTCCCTCCTCTTCCTCAGCCCAGTCTTGATGTCCACAGGGGACAGGGACAAACTTGATCCTTTCACTGATGGCTTCCTTCATCTTCAGAACCATCTCCTGGGCCTGAGGGCCCCTGAGCTTCCTGGAGCGTGGCTGAAAGGGGCTTTCCCTGTCAGCGGGTGAAGACTGTGGCCTTGAACGTGGAGCTCTCTCCTGCCCTGTGCACAGACTCATGCGGCTGACTTTGTTGTCCTCCTCCTCCGGGCTGCTATCCTCACTTTCACTGAGGCATGGAGTAGCCATCAGCCTGGAGCTCTTAGGAAGATGTGCTTTTGTGGAGGCTGTGGTTCCCAGGGAGTCCTGTGGCATGCTCCTGGATACCGCCAAAGGCCTGGAGGTGGTTGTTTCTGGACCTGTGCTGGAGAAGCATGGCCTCCTTGCTTCACCCTGTGTTGCTGGCTGGACCTTGCTCATGGGGGCCCTTGACAGTGGGCAGCCTGGGGCTCTGTCCGGACCCATCCAGAATGGACTTTGCTGCCAGGCCAGTTCTGACAGACTGGCCTCCATCTGGGGTGAAGTCCCCAGCTTCCATTCTATAGGCTCCGGGGTGAAGTCCCAGCTGGCTTGCTTCCCCAGCTTGTCCAAGGACTGCACGGACTCGTCAGCACCAATGCCACTGTCCTCAGAGCACAAGGGTAGATCTTGCAGCCCAGGGTCACCATGGCCACTTGCGAGGCTCTCCAGCTGGACCAGTGCCCTTAGGAGGCGTTCCTCCACACCCATCTTTGTGCTCAGCTTATTTCCCAAGTGGGTTGCAGTGGAATAGAAGTAGCCACTGGAGCCCTCCAGGAAGCTGCCGGTGAGGGAGGCCACCATGCCATGGAGCACCTGTAGCTTGCTGACTGTGTACTGCAGCAGCTGTTGCAAGAGGTCTGGCTGCTCCTGGGGCTTCCCTTTCCTTGATGGCCAAGCTAGATCATCCCTAAGCTCCTGGAGGAGCACTTCTCCATCCCTAGAGATCTCCCCCAAGAGCTGGGTGACCTCCTCAAAGCACAGCAGCAGGAAGTGGAGCATTGGCTGCAGCAGCTCCCGGGTCTGGGTGGCCTGATGGATGAGGCACAGGATCACTTCATACTTGGAGAGGCTGGAGTGCAGGTAGGTGTAAGCATGCTGGTGAGCCTTTACCAGGTGCTCGGGGAAGTCCACTTTGCCTGCTGACCCAGGGGCAGGGGGGATGGTTTGGCAGCAGTGGCCCGGTCTGGAGGTCTCTTGGGTAGTGCTTTGCACACTCTCTTTCCCGGGAAAAGCTGCCCCGTGTGTCCCATGGGAGCCTGGTGTATTGAATGGAATGTCTTCAGCCACGTGGGAGGTTTGGGTCTCTGGCATCAGTCCCTCCATGCCTCCCAAGAGCTGACAGAGACCTTCAGCTGCAGTTTGAGTCCTCTTGGAACTCGGCAGCTCCTCTGCCAGCCTCCGTCCCTGGGACAGGCTTTCCACAGCATCAAGGCAGGTAGAACTTTTAACCAGCCATGGGGCAGAGCCCTTTTTACGGCTTCCCTGATGTCCTGGCAAAACCTCTTTGGGCTTTTTCAAAAACTGAATGCCACTCTTTGCGACGCTGTTTACAATGTCACTGTGTGAAGGTGTACAGCCCATGATTTCAGCTTGTAGTTGTCTTCCACTTGCAACCTTCACAGTTTTCTGAGAATCATCTTGGAAACAGGAACAAAAGGCAGTTTTACTGGTCCATCCAGGCAATTCCAGGGCAGGGTCCTTTGAAGTCCATGGTGTAAGGTCCTAGATGTGAAGAACCCAGTGTGAAGAAGGAGTGCCTGACATCCTGTGTCCTTCTAAGTTTGGAACCTTCTGCTGTTAGTGAGAAGTGGGACAATTCCAAAGCACCTAGTCACACGGATTACGGGCCTGTGTTTTGCTTGTATCCCAACAGATGTGGATGGCAAGTGGAGCTTTAAGCCTATTAGGTTAATCATGCCCTAGCCAGTCAGCACTCACAGTGTGTTCTAATATGGAACTTCTCAGCATTTACTATCTTGGGAAGCAGATTATTTTTGCATGTGCTTATGCTTTTAATTCTGTTCAGATGCCTGCCATATGAAACCTAGAGAAATTAGCTGTGATTGTGAAAGCCTCTGGAAGAGATGCATTTGTGGAAGAGAAGAGAGGGCTTGACAATTACAGACCCCAGAAGAAAAGTGACCTTCACAGCTTAATAAGGGCAAACCAGTGGGGTGTGCTCCAATCTGCTGCTATTGAGAAGGCCCCCGAACACACAACAGACAGCAACCAAGCAGTGCATTGTTGTCTGTGGGGCTTGTAAAACCCTGCGGCCATAGCGATGGACATCTTTAAATAGTAAGGCAGTGAATGAAGAAGACAGGATTGCTTTCCTCTGTATTAGCACATTGAGTTAGCTAGCAAGAAAGCCATCTTTCCTGGTTTGGAGGGAGAAGACAGGAAAACTTACTGCCATGTAAAGTTTAATGCCAGTCACCATGGACCACAGTGACTCAGGGGCCAGTGCTCTTCTGGGAAGAGGCTTTTTATTAAACCTTTCTCCTAGGAAAACAAGCTACAGCTAGGCAGTGGAGAGTTATTCAGTCATTAGGAGTAGAACTCAAGGGGAAAATGTGTTTTTATTTTCAAGCACATCTTTCTGCTCATGCTGAGCAGAGCACTGTTGCCCTTGGCCAAGGGCACCAGCTGCCTGCTTAAAATTCCTTTTATAAACCATATTTGCTGTCAGTAAAGTCTGGAGCAAGAATTTAGAGTAGGGAAACGTGGGTTTAGATCTCGACTCCTTATCGTTGGAGTTGGGGCGCTTCACTGAGGCAGAGATCACCGTGCCTACATACTGAGCTTTTGTGGGGATGAAGTCAATCAATGTTTGGCAAGTGCTTTACTTGGTACCTGAACAGGATAGGCGTTAAACAATTTGTTCTTACTCCTTTCCCCCCAGAAGCTAAAGCAAACCCTGGTCCTTCCCTGAATTATCTGGAGATAATTTTCAATTATTGATCTTGGAGTCCTCTAAATTTGGCTTGCTTGTTCATTTGTCATCCCGTGTCTGGTCAGATTGACCCTGACGGAGGCTTCAATGTGTAATTACTCTGCTGTTAAGCACAGTGATTCCCCAAGTCTGAAAAAGGCTTTTATTTAACCATTTCCAACTTTTGGACATCTGGTTTGTTGCCAGTGTTGAATATTCCTAATAGAAAAAAATACTGTCTTGAGCATTGCTGAGATCTGAAGGTGTCGAGATCGGAGTTAATATTCTGGCTTTATGCTCTTCGTTTTCCCTCTGGAGTTCTGTACAGCGGTAATCATAACACTGTGGGTGTCAGTATGTCTCAGAGACAGGAGGATTTAGAGCCATCTCCTGTGCTGCGGGCAAGCTGGAGACTGACTACTGGGGCTGTGTGCGGAGCCTGATGCTGGTCACAGCCCAATGCCCCAGAGTGCATCATTAATAAAGTTCCCCGATCTGTTTATGTGAAGCAGAACTCAGGGGAAACCCAAGCTAAATCAGTGCCTGGGGGGGAACAATGTTAAGCATCAAGCTGTTGTTTCATTTGTCACCATGCTGGGCTGGCTGGTAAACAGGGACGCTATGTGCCGAGTCTGTTCTCCCCCTCCGGGTCTTGCATGGAACAGAATGAAAGCTCATCTGAAGGATGCCTTATGTAAATTCTTCTGCTCTTGGGATTTGGGCCTCTGCTTGAATTATCTTTGTAAAATCCTTTGATCTAAGTACTAAAATTATTTCTAAACCAATGATTAGAATCAAAGTATTTGCCTAGAGGATCAGCTGCCAGAGAGCTCTGTACCTTTTAGACTGGTTTCAGGACTACTACAAATAATTCAAAATAAGGTGTTTATATATTGCCATTCATTTTTTCATTAAGACCAACTTTTTTTTTCTTTTTAAACTGGGCTTGTTTCAAATGGAAAAAGACCTCTTTGGGTGGAAATGTAAAGTGGTATTACTTTGGAAAACTGACATCAATACATACACCTTAGGACCCATCAATTCCACTCTAAGAGTAAATCATACACCTCAAAGAGACTGGTACAAGAATATTCATGGTAACTCTATTCATACTATTCTCAATTTAGAAATAATCTAAATGTCTATCAATAAGGAAATCAACAATATAATTATACAATGGAATACTCCCCCACCATAAAAAGAACAAACTACTGAAACATAACAACTTGGTTAAATTTTAAAATAATTATGATAAGTGAAAGGCACAAAAGAGTACAATACAGAAACATTCTACTTATATGGAGTTCAAGAACAGGCAAAACTAATCTATGGGGTTATAGAACTCAAAAGAGGGATTATCTCTGCAAGCAGCTATTGATTGATTATGGAGATGAAGGGCTTTCTTAGGGTGCTGGAAATAGTTCATATATTGATCTGGCTGGTGGTTATAATGACATGTAAAACTTGTTTGAGTTGGACAATTAAGTTGTATACTTTATGTCTGTTACACACATACCCCTAATTAAAATACAGTGTTGTATACTTTGTTTTATGCCTCAGGCAATTCTAGCTATGATGCTATCAGTCTTAGCTAAGGCTCCCTGTATTAGTTTTCTGTTGTTGCATAATGAATTGTCCCAAATATATCAGATATTATCTCACAGTTTCTATGGATTAGAAATTTGGGAGCAACTGAGCTGGGTGGTTCTGGCTATGGGTCTCTTGTGAGATTTCAGTCCAGATGCCAGCCAGGGATGCAGACATCTGAAGGCTTCCCAGGGCTGCTGTAGATGCCTTGCAAACTGTTTGCAGGAGGCCTCAGTTGCTCATGACTTGGGGCTCTCCATAGGGTTTCCCCAGAGCCCTTAAACATGGAAGCTGGCTTCCCCTGGAGCAAGTGGTCCAAGAGAAAGCAAGAAGGAGGCTGCTATGTATGTCCTGATCTTAGAAGTCATCTTTGCTTTCTCCACATTTTATTTTAAGCCAGTGTTATGGTTTATATCTAAAATGTTCTCCCGAAGACTCGTGTGTCTGGAAGGTGATTGGCTCCTGGAGGTGCTGTACTCATCAGTGAATCCATCTGTTAATGAGCTCAGGAGCTGTATGTGCTGCTAGGAGGTGAGACCTGGTCACAGGTGGGTCACTAGGAGGGGCTGGAAGTGTCTCTCTCCTCCCCTCCTCCCTCCATCACTCTGCTTCCTGCTGCCATGCCATGAGCTGTTTCTCCTCTGCCATGCTGCTCTGCTTTGGACCAGTGGACTATGGACTGAAACTTCTACAAACTATGAGCCAAAATAATCCTTTCTTCCTTTAAGTTGTGGGTATCCAGTATTGTGTCTCAGCAAAGACAAACTAACTTGAGACAGTTATACTCTAGGAAAGAAAATTAGGTTCCACCTTCAAAAATCACTTTAAAAAAGACCTGGCCATATCACAGGTCAAGCTGATACCCTATATAATTGGGTATAATAAATATTAGTTTATTAAGGTGCTACTCCTTGCGGTTCAGCACATTTAAAAAACTCCATTTTGACTCATGTGGTCCTGAACTAAATGTATCAGCAAGAGATGGTTCCATTTTAACCATTTTTGTGGCATCAATTTTGAGCCAAGACTGAATATTATTTAAACATTGTCTAGACTTTTATATAGATGGAGTCATATAGCATTTAATGTTTTGGTTAACTTTTTCCCTCAATATAGTTAATATTGAGAGTCTTTCATGTCACAGTGTATATATCAACAATTCATAGCTTTTTATTGCTGAGTACTATGATTAGCTCTGTTTTTGAATGTTCACAGCAGTACTATTTAAAATAAAGATGAAAACAACCCAAGTATTCATCAACTGATGGATAACTAAAATGTGGTAGATACAAATAAATGGAAAATTATTCAACCATAAAAGGGTATGAAACACTGACATGCTATAACATTGTGCCTGTACTAAATGCCATTGAAATGTACACTTGAAATGGTTAAAATGGTAAATTTTATGTTATATGTATTTCACCATGACAATAGTAATATATGCCATATAAAAACTTAGAACATATAGATAAACAAGGTGAAATAAAAATCTCTTATCTATATCTGTCTACTCATTCTATCTCTTTCGGACTCAATACAGACAGAATTTGTTCTACATACAATTTGTAACCTAGTTTAATATGTCATAAATTTATGTTCACATCAAATATGCTTTACAGAACTTTAATGGCTATAATATTCTGTTGACTTGAGGAAAGGCATTTTCTTTGGTCAGATTCTTATTACTGAACAGTTAGGTTAAATCTATTGTAAATAATACTGAAATATCTCTGTAGATAAATTTTTGCAACATTTGGGATTATTTTCTCAGGATAAATTCTGTGATGTGAATTTATTTAGCTAAATAATGTAAACATTAAGAAAAGTGATACTCTTTTTAGAAGAGTTGTAGATTTGGAAAAAAAACCCCAAAACAAAAAACAAGCACAGAATGCCTATATGTTTTTCTCTCCCACAGTGCTTCCCTTATTATTATTATCTTTTTTTTTGCTACCGGAGATCCCTTATTATTAACATCTTATGTTACTATGATATTTTGGAATAATTCTGCTTTGTTTTGTTTTGTGGGACTAGGGATTGAACTCAGGACCTTCATACTGAGCTACATCCCCAGGTCTTTTTTATTTTTTATTTTGAGAAAGAGACTTGCTGAGTCTATAAATTGCTCAGGCTGGGCTCACACTGGAAATCCTCTAGCCCCAGGCTCCCAGAATTCTGGGATTACAGGAATGCACCACGACACCTCGCTCTTTTCTTATAATTAACGTGTCCATATAGATACATGATTATTTACTAAAGCCCACACTTTGGTCAGACTTCCTTAGGTTTTATCTGTGCCCCCTTTTATT